GGAGTCTCCTTGTTAAGATACACACCCACAAAGAGTCAAGGCAACCTATGCAAAGCAACCTGAGAGAGGACTTCCCGGCGCCCACCAATTGCTTCCACTTCCATGACCTGGCTTGGAGGTGCCTTACGCTCCCCTAGGTATTCTTGGGTGAATTCCAAAATCCCCACCCCGTTAACTCTGGTGTTGATCGGGTGGTCTCAAAAAAAGTAACCATCGGTAATGGGTAGGGATATTCTAAATATACAATTCGTGTCGCTTCATGCAGTTCACACCTTTTGAGCATTTCTGTATAGCACGATTTCACCGTCGCCACTAGTGGATTCACTTTCGAGCCGAAGCCACGCGTTCAAAAGAAGCCTCACGCTGGCTTGTCATGGTTTGCTTTTGGTTGTGACCACCCTTGGTCAACGAGATTGGTGCCGCGGAGCACAGGTTCGATCAGGACCTCGATTGGAGCCCTGGCTGATGGTGGAAAAGGGGCCCGATGGGTCCAGCTTTGTTCCTTGTTGGGATGGCCGGTGCGACTCGTTTGGGCATTTCATAGTGGAATGCAAGTGGGCCCTCCAATCCTCGAAAGCCAATGAAAGACCTCTCCTAGCAGCTCGGATCGCTCGAAAGGCCCTTCATCCAACCATGCAGCACTTGTCCAACTCATGTACAAGCTGCGCCCAGAAGAATTCAAATCGGAAAAGGACGTAGCAAAGCTCATCAAGTACCTCGAAGAGAGTCCTCTCAACAAACAACCCCTTCCTGACGCGGGTTCGGCATCGCAAAGCGATGAATCCCGAAGAGGAAAAGACCTCCTCGAGCGCCTCATGGAGAAGGGACTCATGCCCTTGGCAGCCCTTGACGTCATCAGGGGCTGGATGGTTCTTGAAAAATGGCTGTCACCTCCGAAGATGATCGAAGGTTGATCAAGGCTGCAACTCGAAACCGCCTGGCTTACAGTGAGATCAGGCAAGCACTTTTGGGTCTCTTTGAAGAGAAGCTTCATGGCAAAGGACCTGGGAAAGGCCCTGGCTTCATGGGACTTCGTTCAAGGGTCAAGGGCTCTCAACGAGCATACTTCCAGGACTATGAGACTGAAGAGTCCTACGACCCGAACTCAGAGCACTATGGCTTCTACTCGGACGAGACCTATGGCCAGGACTATGTCACTGAAGGCTATGAAGAATGGCCTGATGAAGAAACATATGAAGCTGAAGAATGGCCGAATGAAGATGAAATGGATGAAGACCTCCTTCGGCTACAACAAGAGCAGGAGGAGATTGAAAAGAACAAGATGGAGCTAGAAGAACTACTTGGTGAGACCGACCGCAACCTGATCGAGGCCAGAAAAGCCGTTGCAGCTGCTCACAAGGACCTTGGCTGGACAGGCGCAGTCCAGCAACGACAACCACGGTCGACCACGACATATCCATGGAAAGGCCAACCAAAAGGCCGTGGAAAAGGAAAAGGACAAAATCCTGGAAAGTCAAGATTCCAGGAAGGCAATTGGGTGCAGAGCGCCAAAGGCAAGAACAAGTTCACCTTTGGCAACAACTACAACAAGGGCAAGGGCAAGTACTCGAAGGGCAAAGGCTATGGAGCCAACTACAGCATGGGCATGATGGAAGTGGATGAAGAATTCGATGACTCGAACACGGACCCGAACATGTTTCCTTTGATGATGGCGGCAACGCCTGCCACGCGAGAGAGCAGCAAACCAACTCGGCTGCCTCCGCATCAATCCCTGGTGGACACTGGAGCCACCGCCACTGCCGGCGGAAAGCAAGCTGTGCAGGATTTGTGCAAAGCACTCGTCTCATCGCGACCGAACTTGGAGGTCACTGTGTTTGAAACAGCGAGACCATGGTTTAGATTTGGGAATGGCAAATGGGGCAGAGCTTTGTACAAGGTCACCCTCAAGGACCCCACTTCGGATGTTTCCATGTCCATCTACGCACTTCCAGCAGTTGATGTACCTGTTCTCACCGGGATGAAAGAACTTCAACACTTGAACTGTGTCATCAATTGCACCACCGGGGCATGCATCATCCAAGGACGACCCATGCAACTCCAGAAGAACAGTAAGGAGCACCTCATCATTGACTACAAGGAACACATTTTTCCGGAGAACCACCACCAACCTTTTGAGCCCAATGCGGAAAAACCCAAGAAGACAACCTCTTCCTTTTCGCCTTCTCGGAGGGTGCAGTTTTGTGACGTTGAGGAGTGTCATGTCTTAGACATTTTCACCTTGAGCGTCATGGACTTTGATGTCATGAACACGGAAGAGCATGTCAGTTTTGAGTGTTTTGCATTTGAAGCTTCTCACGATTTGGCAAGTCATGTGGGAGTGACTGATCACCATTTGCAGCATCTCATGCCCACAGTGAACGACGCCTCAACTCCCGCTGATCCTTCTTCGACGGCATCCGACTCGTCCTTGAAGGAGGAGATCCGAAAAGCCGTGCGGGAAGTGGTCCAGGAGGAAATCCACCAGGCCACAAAAGAAGCAAAAGCCGAGGTCAAGAGCACGGCGGCAAAGGGCAAGTCCAAGCCCAAGGTCAAGACAGAGCTCGACCACACGAGAAAGGCTGGCATGGACCAGCGAGACCCTCGGGCCAAGACACAGCAGTGGCCATGTTTTGGAGACCATCACCCGTTCAGTCACGGGAATCGGTTCGGCAGCTGGACAGAATGCACAACCTGCGGGGTCAGGCTCTCCTACACTCCTGCAGTCAATGCTCCAGCACAGACGACACACGTCGACCTCCCGCAAAACGTGATCTTGGCATTGGAACGCATGAGGAGCGAGGGCTGGGAACCTCAGACCATTTCGCACACGCAGGTGAAGGCCATGATCACCATCGTGTCCAAGGAGTACCAGCTGATCAAGACTCCAAAGGCCAAAGCCAAGAAGGGATATGTCAAGCCGAACGATTTGACCAGGGATGCAACTTCCTCCGAGACTCCGCCCGAGGCCGTGGCGATCTACACGGACGAGGAGTTCATCCAGATCGACAAGGAGGACGAGGAGCCAACGAAGAAGAGGGATGCTCAGAAGTGAGCATGAGTGATGAGATGGAGATCTCAGAGCCTCTTGGAGAGGCAACACGCCAACAGCTGATGAGAAGCACCACGGAATTCAACTCTGGCACCTGTCTTGGTGCTTTGCAGGACTTCACAAAACCTTTGTTTGGGAGATTTGCTGCCGAGCAAACTCAGCACTGATGAACGCAGTACATGAACAAAAGATCCACGGGCATCGCAAAACTTTGGAGACGGGGTATGACATCGGCAAGCCATCGGATGTTTCAAGAATGGTCGAAGAGGCAAAAACCCAATGCCCTTCCAGATCATGGTTTTCTTTGGTTTGCACCGCCGTCACTTCCATCCAGAACCTCAATCAGAGAGACTGGAAACAAGTTGAAGATCTTCGTAAGAAGAGACAGCGATGCCGGCGACAGCTTCGAGGTGCGATCACTTTGATCTGGGCTATCATCATGGCCAGCCACAACACCAGCAAGTTCTATTTCGAATGGCCAAAACATGCAGTAGCTGGATGGAACCTCCCGGAACTCCAGCACTTCATCAAGCAGTACCAGAAGGAGTTTGGCCCGATCTACTTCACCCAGATCGATGGCTGCCAACATGGAATGAAAAGCCCGGATGGACACCTCATCCAGAAATCCTGGCTGGTGATGAACAATGATCCTGAATTCCATGACCGATGTGGTCGGAAGTGCGATCAAACACATTCTCACCGACCAGGTGGCATGATTGGCATGGGATCCAGAGCTGTCTCTGAGACCGCCTTCTACCCGAAGTTCATGGTGGATGGCATTGCTCGGCTTCGGAAATCCCAGTGGCAAAGAGACCTTCAAACTTCGCCAAAAAAAGTCTACAAGACGATCATGGCGATCGATGACAACGTGAAGCATGAGAGAAAGGAGACAAAAGGTGAAACAGAGCTTCGAAAGGTTCCAAAAGAAGAGATTGAGAAAACCAAGGCAATGCTACATCGACTTCATCGAGCAGCTGGTCACCCAAATAATCGCTCTTTGGCAAGACTATGTCAAGATCGTGGTCTACCTCCGTGGGTCACGCAACTGGCATTGGAGCTGAAATGCCAAGCATGCTTGGAAACGAAGAAGGGTGCCCAGATGACACTCCCTGCTTCGATAGAGTCACGGTCACGCCCCTGGCAAATGATTGGACTTGACACTTTTGAGCTCTACTTCCCAAAGATGAAGGTCAAGGCAAGGTACCTCCTCATGACCTGCCTGACTATGAGGTTTACATCTGTCCACCTCCTATGGCAAGGCGATGATGCTACCTATGGGACAGAGTCAGGGCAGAAGTTGATCCATGCCTTAGTCGAGGCCTGGCTTCTACACCGACCACGCCCCGAATGGATACTGGTTGACGCCCAGACTTCATTGGCAAAAGGAGACTTTGCCGCCTTTTGTCAGTCCATAGGCATTGGAGTGACCGCAGTGCCAGGAGAAGCTCACTGGCAACATGGCGGAACTGAGTCAATGGTCAAAGCATTGAAGAACACAATGAAGAAGGTGAGAAGTGAACACTCCAATTTGAGTCCCAAGCTGGTGGCCCTTCTGGCGTCCTCGGCTCAAAACCATGGAGACAGAGTTCGAGGATACAGTCCAGTTCAGTGGGCATATGGCTTGGAACCTGGAGCATGGCACTTAGACCATGATCCTTTGGAGGCGAACACCAACAATGGCATGAACACCGCAGAGTTCTGACAACTACAAAAGAACCGTGATGCAGTTGAACAAATCCATCGAAAAGAACTGGCCGCAGCAAGAATGACAAGACTATACAATGCCTCAAGCAGACCTACCAACGCCTATGCTGTGGGTGACTGGGTTTGCATTTGGCGAAATCCAACCATCAAGACCAGAAAGAAGGAGTTCATCAATGAGCCCAGATTCATTGGTCCAGGTCGCATTGCAATGGTGGAGCCCTCAGCCACACCTGGTGGACATGCAGCTGTTTACTGGGTCCTCATGGGCACAGCTCTATGGCGATGTGCGCCTGAACAAATGCGACCAGCCTCAGAAGTGGAAATCTTGGCAGACATGGTCAAACATGGAGATCGACTTGCGACTCCAATGAGTGACCTTCTTCGACAACTCCACTCCACTGTGGATGTGACCAAGGAGCCAAGTTTTGATCCAGAACGAGACCTTCTACCAGAGGAACCTCGACCTGACGGAGAACCAGATCCTGGAGAAGGAGAACCAGCAACGCCTCCTGATGAATGGCGTGGGCCTTCAGATGGACCGGATGCCAGTTCAAGATCTCGATCAAGGTCAAGAGAATCACCTGAACATCGAAGACAACGAGTACAAGAGCATGTTGCTAACTGGGATCAACTCCAGTCAATCAACAAAGCTCGACGACTAGAAGGACTACCACCTCTAACACAGCTTCCAAGAGAACAAACTGGACGCCCTGATGAGTGGGAGTACATGGAAACAGATGGCAAACTCATCCGCCATCACTACACTCCTCGATGGTCACTTTTTCAGCCGACCTCCACTCCTGACTGTCCAGTGGAAGAAAGATTCATCCAACCGCAACGTCGAACATCTTGGTGGGATGATCAACAAAATGGTACCTATGAGGACAACTGGAAGAAAACAGAAAAAGACACTCCTGCTTTCGCAAGAACATGGACAGGCCGTTCCGAATTCACCGTCCGGCCTGGTGGAAGGAAAAGAAAGGTACCACAATACAACCTTGACGATGACGAGGGCACGGTCACTATGACCACTCAAGAACTAAAGACAAAGCCAGAGATGGACATCTACCAGCTCTATGACTTCAAGAATAAGCACCTGACTGAAGAGAACTATGAGATCGAGAATGACTATGAACAGATGAATGAAGAAGAAAGGAGTGACCCCGAATGCCGACGTCAAGAGTTTCTTGAAGAGATCAATGAAGAAGAAAGAGAAGAACAGTTCTTTCTGGACTTCATGTTTTCCGACAAGGTCATTGACGCTGAAGAAGCTTGCTTCATTGAGTTTGAAGTCGACAACATGCCAGCGTTCCTCCTGGATAGCACGGCCTATGTCGCAGACAAGCTGCAAGGACCGAGCAAAGAGGTGAACTTCAGAAAACTGTCGCCACAACACCAGGAGTTGATGAAAGAAGCAATGGCCAGAGAAGTCTCTGAAGTCCTGAAATCACATTCTCTCAGAGCTCTTCGTGAACAAGTTCCAGAATCAGTCCTGAAAGAGAGAATCATCCCAATGAGGTGGATCTTGATATGGAAGCCCTTGTCAACTCCAGAACTACCACCTACAGATGGCTCTCCAACCGTCCTCAGGGAAGATGGTCTGGCAAAAGCAAAAGCCAGAATCGTTCTCATTGGGTATAAACACCCGGACTTGGCCAGAAGAGATGAGCGCACTGGAAGGCCGCACCTGAGAACGGCATCACCTACACTCTCAAGGCTAGGACGCCAATTGGTCCTACAAGCTGCTGCTCTAGACCAACACCTTCAGGAGTCAGCCGACGCAAAATCAGCTTTCCTCCAAGCTGATGAAGGCATTGGCGCACAGCCGCTCTACACCTACGGTGTCCCAGAGCTCAGTCACGCCCTGGACATTCCAAAGAACCAGGCGATGCAGGTCGTTGGAGCGATCTATGGTTTGACAAACGCACCAAGGATTTTCTGGAAAGACAGTGACACCAAGATCCAGCGGATTGGCGGAACCGCTCACCCGTTGGACAAGTGCATATGGATCTTCCGCAACTCAGCCGGAGAAGTATGTGGGCGCATAGCCTCACACGTGGACGATTTCATCATCACCGGCAAGGAAGATGACAAGGACTGGAAAAGATATAGAGAAGAGTTCAAGAAGATGTACAATTGGTCACCTTGGCAGGCTGGCTCATTCACTTTCGCCGGCATTGAACTGAAACAGACCAAGGACTATACCATCTACATGACACAGGAGAAATTCTGTGGAGCACTTCGACCTGTCACCATAGAGCACGAGACCCAGAGAAAGCTGACAGATCGTCTCAGCCCTGCAGAAACAACGCAGGCAAGAGGATTGACAATGAAGGCACAATGGCGGGCCATCCAAACAGCCCCGCAGTTCTGTGCCAGAATCGGAATGCTGGCTTCATCCTTGAAGGATCCCACCATCAAGGAGCTCAAGGAGGCGAATTCCATAATGAGAGAACTTCGCAAAACCTCCAAGGAGGACCTCGTGATGCACTCCTTCAACGCCAGCAGAAAGCAAAAGCTGAGGTGGAATTACCTGATAGCTGTCCACTTCGCCGACGCCGGCCTCAACAACAGGCCCTGTGGCGGGGCAACAGGAGGACACGTCTCATGCCTCTCAGACCCTTCGGTTCTCACTGGGGCAGAGAGCAAGATGAGTATGATAGATTGGAGAAGTTGGAAGTTAGAAAGGCCAAGCAAAGGCTCAAACGGAGCCGAAGGTCAAGCCATCTACGAAGGAGAAGATAGAGGATGGCGTCTTCGTTTGTTTTGGGCCCTTCTCAATGGAGAACAGCTCACCCGCCAGAACTCCAACCGGCTTGCCAGCATGACTGAATCCCTCTTAGTCATGGACTCAAGAGGATGTTTTGATGCCCTCACCACGAACGACTCAGTGATGTTGGGCATGTCAAACGCCCGCACGGGCGTGGAGATGCTTCACGTGCAACAAGGCACTAAGGACGAGAGCAATTGCCACCCAACTTGGGTACCAGGTGATATGAACCTGGCAGACAGCCTGACTAAGGCCACCTACGAGAGCTTCAAAATCATGGCCCTATACCACACGAACAAGACATGGGCTGTTCGCTTCAACCAGGAATTTGTCAGCGCCAGGAAAGCACAAAGGTTGCGCAGAGCCAAGCAGCTAGAAGAAGCAAAGACCCTTTTTCCACTTGAAAGGTTCAAACAAGAGGACCTACCTACGTGGGAAGAGCACCACTTCGGCGCAGACTTTCCTGAGAGAGTTTAGCTCAAAAGGTTGAAAGGGGACTTTTGTCCATGTCGCTTCATGCAGTTCACAC